GGTGTTATATACTTTGTGAGCACTTGTGGCTCTGAGAATGCCCTTTCATTGTCTTCACACATTACCAATTTGGCTGAATGAGAATTACTGGATTACAATCCTTTCTCACAGATGTTTATAGTTCAAATTTGTTTCAGTTAAAAGTGGACTCGATTGCATTTAACAGAAACCTCAGATCACAGTGGCTTTTTTAATATATATAGAGAAGAGGGGTCCAGAAATAGAATCCAGAGCTGGTGTCACATGGACCCAGATGTCTACCATCTTTCTTTTTGCTTTAATCTTTCCCCACTTAAACACTAAATATATGTTTCTTTCTTAGCAGGCAGCTCCCATGCCCAGGCAGCTCCCGATACCTTCTCCTGTGTCTCCTAGTGGGCACAGGGTGCCACTGCAACTCCAGCTCTCATCCATATTCTACATAGCAGGAAGCAGCAAGGGGCTGGGAAACAGCTCATAGTTGGTACGTGGCTACACCTAATAAAAAGGAACTAAAGAAGTAGGGGTAGTTAGTTAACAGCTTTTGCAACAGTCTTACCAGGATATGTCTAGGTATTGAATTTATTTCTCACCATTTTTGTGTAGGACTTCACTCAGAAGTATGACCTATTATATCTGTAATTGTTGCTTTGGGTATATTTTTTTCTGGTTTTTATTTGGTTATATATATTCTCACACTCGTCTTCTATGTGACTTTAATTTTCTGCATGTGATTCTGCTCATTTCTATCTCTAATGGACTTTAAAATTCCAACATTTACATTAGATTCTTTCAAAGAAGTATATTTCATTTAGCTCCTTTAACATTTTTCTGCTTCCTGGTCAGGTCTCTTTATATTTCAGACTCATTATGTTTTCTCTGATGTATCATAGAGAGGAATTTTGAGAAAAAATAATAGAAAGGCAGAAGGAATTCTGTAGCAAACAGCTGTATACCCATCTCTAGGAGCTGATAACTGGTTACATTTTCTCATATTTGTTTTGTTTGCTTAATATTCAACCAACCTTCACCCTAACTCTGGCAATTCCAAACACCTTTACTGTCCTTCTCTTTTCCCTTTTCCACAGCACTTATCACTTCCTGAAATAATACAATTTCCTTATATTTTACATCCCTACCTCTGGCGTATAAGGTCCTTGATGTCAGGATCTTTGTTTTGTTCACTGGTGATTCCAAAGCACCTAGAACACTAAGTGGAACACAGTGGGTAAATATTTCCTTTTTTTGTTTTTTTCTTTTGAATATATAATCTTTATTACATTTTTTCCATTACCATTTAGTCCCTTTATCTCCCCTCCCCCCAGCAATCACCACACTGTTGTCCATGAGTCCTTTTTCTTTTTTGCTCAATCCTCCCACCCCCTAATCTCCCCACCCCCCACTAGCTGTGTTCTGTTCTCCATCTGAGTCTGTAAATATTTCTTGAATGAATAAATGAAGTAAAATTATATTTTTTAAATCATGTAGATATATAGACTTAGTCCATTGCTTTTAACTGATATGTTATCAGCATAATAAACATTAACTAATGTTTATTAAGTACTTATTGTGTTCTAAGCACTATTCTGGCTTTACACTTCTCATATTATGCTCAAATAGACCGTGATATAAGTACTGTTAGTAACCCACAGGTTACAAATGAGAAATTAAGACCAGTGAGTGGACACAAAATCAACTTACAGATACCAGTTGCATTTTGACACACTAACAACAAAACACCTGAAAAAGAAATAAAGAAAATAATTCTATTCACAATAGTATCAAAAACAATACACCCTGGCTGGTGTGGCTTAGTGGATTGAGCAATGGCCTGCAAACCAAGGGGTCACTGGGTTGATTCCCAGTCAGGACACATGCCTGGGTTGCAGGCCGGGTCCCCAGTGGGGGACATGTGAGAAGCAACCACACATTGGTGTTTTTCTCCCTCTCTTTCTCTCCACCTTCCCCTCGCTCCAAAAATAAAATAAAATCCTTTTAAAAACCCTTTAAAAAAATAATAAAAGCACTTAGGAATAAATGTAGCCAAGGAGGTGAAAGATCTGTACACTGAAAACTACAAGTCTTTCATGAAAGGAATTGAAGAGACACAAGCAAATTGAAAAGGTATTTCATGTTCATGGATCAGAAGAATTAGTATTGCTAAGATGTCAGTACTACCCAAGCCATCTACAGAGTCAATGCAATCCCTATCAAAATTCCAAGGCATTTTTCACAGACGTAGTACAAACAATCCTAAAATTTATAGACACTACAAAAGACCCCACATAGACAAAGCAAAGTGAGAGAGAAAAACAAAAGCTGGAGGCATCATACGTCCTGATTTCAGACTATACTGCAAGGCTATAGTAATCAAAATAGTATGGCACTAGCATAAAAACAGACACATAAAATCAATGGAACAGGACTATGAGTGCCAGAAATAAACCCTCACATACAGTCAACTAATATTTGACAAGACAGAGAAAGGACAGTCCTTTTAATAAATGGTGTTGGGAAAACTGGATAACCACATGCAGAAAATCTTACACAACTCACAAAACTTAACTTGAAATAGATGAAAGACATAAACTTAAGACCTGAAACCATAAAACTCATAAGAAAATGTAGGGAAAAGCTCCTTGACATTGGTTTTGGCAACATTTATTTTTTGGATATGACACCAAAAACATACACAACAAAAGCAAATATTAACAAGTGGGGCTTTATCAAACTAAAAGTCTTCTGCATAACAAAAGAAACCATCAACAAAATGAAAAGGCAGCCTACTAAGTGGGAGAAAATATTTTCAAATGATATATATATGGGGCTAATATCCAACAAGAACTCATACAACTCAATAGCATAAATAAATAAATAAATACATACATACATACATACATACATCTGATTTTAAAATGGACAGAGGGTCTGAATAGGCATTTTTCCAAAGAAGGCATACAAATGGCCAACAAGTACATGAAAAAAAATGCTCAGCATCATCAGGGAAAGGCAAACCAAAAACCACAATTGCCTAATACCTGTTAAAATGGCTACCATCGAAAAGACAAGAGATATGTAAGTGTTGGCCAAGATGTGGAGAAAAAGGAACCCTTGTAAACTGTTGGTGTGAATGAGTGTAAACTGATGTAGCCACTATGGAAAACAAGATGGAGTTTTCAGAAAAAATTAAGAATAGAACTATGATATGATCTGGCAATTTCACTTCTGGATATGTGCCCAAAGGAAATGAAAACAGGATGTGAAAGAGCTACCTTCTCTCCGATGTTCACTGCAGCATTATTCACAATAGCTAAGATATGAAAACAATGTAAGTGTCCATTAACAGTTGAGTGGATAAAGATGTGCTACATATGTATGATGAAATATTTAGCCATGAGAAAGAGGGAAGTCCTGACATTTGCAACAACATGGATGAAACTTAAGAGCATTATACTATGGGAAATAAATCAGACAGAGAAAGACAAATACTGTATGACCTCACATGTGGAATCTAAAAAAGTCAAACTCATAGAAAAAGAGTAGAGTGGTAGTTACCAGGGGAAGAGGGGTGTGGGAAATAGGGAGCTATTGGTCAAAGAGTATAAACTTCCAGGTATAAAATGAATAAATTCTGGAGATCTAATGTGCAGCATGGTGATTATAGTTAATAACAGTATTATATACTTGAAAGTTGCTAAGAATGTTTTTAAATGCTCTTACCACAAAAAAAAAAAAAAGGTAATTATGTGACACCATAGAGGTATTAGTTAAGCTATGTGGCAAACATTTTGCAATGCACAGGTGTATCAGATCAACACATTGTACATCTTGAATTCAAACGAGGTTGTATGTTATTTATACTAATAAAGCGGGGCGGAAGGAGAGACCAGTGAGTGGCAGAGCTGGATTAAAATCTAGACTACTGGCCCCAGACTATGAACTGAACCACTGATTGAATGTTATAAAATAAGCAAATCACATTTATCTATCTTTTTCTGTAGCAATTTTGCCTATCATGAACAAGTTTCAGTGAACATCTCCTCATGCATATGTGGAATGTTTCTTGAGGATACATATAAATCAAGTGGACAAGCTATGGAAACCTTCTTTTTGCTATTGTTCATTTTTTGAGAGTACAGAGCACAGCAACTGTTTAAAATTTTCTTCTTTCCTTCAGAATTTGTTTCCTCTGGCAGTGTACATGTTCCATAAAGGTGGGGACTTTTGCGTCTCATTCACTGATCTATTCCAAGCATCTAGAAGAATGACAGACACATGAGAGACACTCAATAAATATTTGGTCAATGTATGAATAGTTCTATGAATGGTTCTTGAATGTTAGGCTTTGCAGCCTTAATGATGCAAATGCTTTTTAAAGGACCCCAAACTGTGTGAAGAAAATTTCTATTTAATCCTTCTTATACGTTGATAATCATACCCAAAGCTTGGATGTACGCCCCCAATCGGAGATGCGAGAAAGGATACTTCTTGGATCCCAGCACTTCCTCTTATGATTAGAATTCCCCATGAGGACTTTAAACTAAGAGAAAACAGGTTCCATGACCTAAGAGCCTGAGGGAAAGGGGAGAGAGCTCCCCTGTATGTAACTTGGGACTGTCTCCCCTAAAGCCTAGTGTGGCCTGACCTTCTTGGTGCTGCCAACTACCATGCCAGGGCTGAACGCTTGCAGAGATGGACCTCAACTATCTCCAGCCTCATGCATACCAAGCAAGCTGCAGTGGCTAAAGGAACTCCAGTTGAACAGTTCCCAGTCTGTCCTACTGCTCACTCTTGCTCTTACCCTTCATGCCTGTACAGTAGACCCGTTTATCAGATCCAATCCAGACTCCCAGATGGCCTTCGTGGGTACTCTGTGTAGCAGAAATTCTTTTTAGTCTTCCACGTAAACAGCGATCTTCCACAGAATCTAGCAACAGGACAGGCTCCCCACGTTTGTGTTCTATTGGTCACTTCAACCATGCTCAAACAGAGGAGTTAGAAGCACACTTACCTCAGTACTAACCTGTTTTTAACTGTTTCCAAAAATGTCTTAAGTTAACTATAGACAAAAGAACAGTGGCCATACAGTAAAACTGTCACTCTGGGCTTTTTTGACCACTGCTAAAATGGTCAAAACGGCTGCATCTTTGATACTAATTTTTCAATCCCTTTTTAGTACCACTATTGGGTGAAGGGGATCACACATCTAATGAAGCTTACCTTCCAGTAAAAGACACAGATAACAAACAAGTAAATATATGTCAGGTGGTGCTAATGCAAGGAAGAAATGAAAGTCAAAGTACAGGGCAGAGTGTTGGAGGCACTGCATTAGAGGCAGAGAAAGCCCCGCAGATCCTTGTCTTTGTCATTTCCTTAAAAAGTGTGGGAAAAGAGCATTGAAATATCCTAGCTGTACATTACTTCAGAAAGATTCCCAAATAACTGTGAAAAGAGGATGTAGGTGTGTATGTCCATGAACATCCCTGGTGAGGTAAGACCACTGTGCATTTTACGAAATCCCAAGTCTTGGAATCATGGGTGTGATTCTCTGATCCTAAGGTCCTCATCTATAAGATAAGAACAACTCTCTCTTAGGGCTATTGTAAAGATCCAGTCAGCCAGCCTATATAAAGTGCCATACATACAGTTGACACTCAGTAAATGTGGGCTTTCTTTTCTTTCTCCATTTTCCCTGCCCCTCTCCTGGGCTCTCCCCTTGATAAAAACAAGCCATATACATGATGTGATAGAGATCCTTATGAAGGAATCTTTAGACATTATACTAGTTTTTCTTTATCACATTACATGAATACTTATTTAAAAAGCTGTATTTCCTCCTGACCAATGCGGCTCAGTTGGGCATTGTCCCACAAAGTGAAAGGTTGCCAGTTTGATTCCCGTTTAGGGAACATACCTGGGCTGTAGCTTTGGTCCCAGTCAGGGCACATGTGAGAGGCAGCTGATCAACAATTTTCTCTCACATTGATGTTTCTTCCCCTCTCTTTCTCTCTCCCTTGCCCTCTCCTTAAAAATAAATACATTTATAAAAATCTAAATCTCATCTCCTCCCATTGCTGCCAGTGATACCATATTAATGAAGAAAATTAATCCCGTGGTAATATCTTTTATATCAGAAGAAACATATATATCATCAATAGAGACAAATAATAAAATGTGGCTTCCTTACACTGAAGTTGAAATCCAGGTAAACTTAACCCTCTTACTAGGGCCTTTAGGTGTGTTTTCATTCCACAACAGCTCCAAACAACCTCACCACTCTCTCATCAGTCACTCTCGCTCACCTCTTCCTTTGCTGAAGAAAAAGCTCTGGACTAAAAATCAGGAGAATCCATCCTCATGAGTTGATCAACATGCTTAACCTTTCAGGGTTTATAGTCTTGGGTGTGGACTAGATTAACTCTAAGGGAATATCATGTACATCCCCTGAGGTTTTCCTATAAAAACATTCTTCCCCTTGCATTTCTATCTCTATTTCCACTGCTTCTCTGATCACAAGCCAGTCCTGCAGTATTATATTGTCCCAGTTCAATGGCCTCAGGACTGTGGTGGTGGTGGTGAGTCTTCTGTATAGTTGGACAGCCTTTCCAAGGAGTGATGATAAACACACGCTGCACTGTATGTTCCTACTTTCTGTTAAACACACACGGCATTGACAGTCCTCATTCTCCAGACTGCAGAGAGTCATTGCAAGGAATATGGGCAGTGAGGAGGGAGACTTAGGACCCACTTTTGGAAAATCATTAAAAATATAAAAAGTCAGTAGTTTCTCCAAGTAGACTTAAGTGACTAAAGATCTGAGATGTCACCTGCCTGACACTCTATTTTCACATGCACAGGCTTCACATACCCTGCCCTTTCTATTTTGATTTTGCTTTCATTTCTGAGAGCCCTGACCTCATCCATAAAACTACCAGAGCCCATGCTTCGGGGCGGGCTAGGAGCACTGCCAAGCGCCACAGGCTTTGGGGTCTAACGACTCCGCTTAGCTGACCTCGCTGATCCCCTCTTCTCACCACTTCTCACATTTAACTGATGGTTCATAAAGTATAGCTTTGTCCGTATCTGTCTTGTCACTGCACCACATCAGGAAAGCATCCTTTCACTTCCTTGGAGAACTCTAGTGCCAAGAAATGAATAGGTATTTCTCCACATGGGAAATTCCATGTTATCCAGAGGTACGCATGAGGAGGAAAGATAGCAATCAGCAAGCATCCTCTCAGCTCTCTGAAACCATGTCAGAAACCATATGATGGTGCCAAAAAGAACTACAGCATTACAGAGGATGCAAACTGTGCTGGAGTATGGGTCCCAGACTGCTTTGACTGATATGTGAAGATTCAAAAAACTTTCAGGGAACTGAGATAAGGTTGACAACTTTTAATTTTTCAAATAAGGCCATTAAAAGAAAAGGGAAGAGTACCCTCTACTACTGCCTTTTCTATTTATTTCATTTCAAAATGACAAATTAATGGTATATCCATGCAATAGATTATTCAGCCACAGAAAGTAATGAGTTTCTGACACATGCTATAACATGATACTTGAAAACATAAAGCAAAGTGAAATTAGCCAGAAACAAAAAGACAAATGTTGTGTAATTTCACTTACATGAGGTAGCTAGAGGAGTTATATAGAGAGAGACAGACAGACAGACAGACAGACAGACAGAAAGCAGATCTCAGGTTACCAGAGGCTGAAGACAGCAGGGAGCATTGCTTAATAAGAGAATTATTGCTTAATGGGTACAAAGTTTGTGGTTGGAATGAAGAAAAAATTTGGATAGTGATGATGGTTGCACATCATGCAATTAATGCCACTGAATTGTACCGTTAAAAATAGTTAAAACAGCCGAAAAGGGGGACATTTTCATGCACATGCACACATGCATGTGCACACACGCAGCACAGAAGTAAACAGACTGTCCACAGATGCTTTCACTGAGGTAGAAGGGATGGGTAGATGCAGATCCTGGGGTGTCAGTTCAGTTGTGGAAAGAAAATGCTGGATCATCTGCTGAGTGAAGGGGCCTTGGCTTCAGAATCTCATTTCTTTAATCAACTCTGTACTCCTTTGTTCAGCTTTTAATGTTCTCCATGATCTGGCCCTGCATTTACCTAACCAACACACTCACTCATTGAACCACTGGAGCTATGCAGCCACTCTCCTTGCCAGCCTGGGAGACACCCAGCTCCTTCCCATCTCCTCAGTCCAATGCTAATCCTGTTCTGTTCCGCCACAGCCTCCCCATCTTCAAGGCCACCCCAAGAACCTCCTCTACATGGAAGAAACTACTCTCCCTAATTATTCTGTCTTTCTAATCATCCTCAGTGACAGCCCTGGCCTTGAACACCTACAGCACATAAGGTGGTCTTCCCATTAAATGTCATTAACCCACAGCTGTGTGCAGATTAGTTTTCTATTCCCTAGTCTTGTATGGGCTCCTTCTCAATCTTATTTGGTCTATACTTTACTAAGCTGGTACTAATAGTCGTACAAGTATTCAGTGAATGTTATTATTGTTGGTTAGTGAATAATAATTAACAATGGTTGGTATTTATAAAGCCCACACATTCCAGTGTTTTCCACTCAATCCTCACAATAAATTTGCTAATAGAATAACTTCATTTTAGTGAAAGAGAACCTGAGGTGTTGAAGAATCAAGTGACCTAGGCTAGTTCATATGCTAATACAAAGCAATAAAATATTTATTAACATAAAATTAATAACAATAAGTATTTAAAAATCAATCTCCTTGTGGATTAAAAGTTCCCTGCCCTGGCCAGTGTGGCTCAGTTGGTTGGAGTGTTGTCCCACAAAGCCAAAGGTAGTGGGTTTGATTCCTGGTCAGGGCACATGCCTAAGCTGTGGGTTCAGTCCCTGCATACAGGAGGCAGCCAATCAATGTTTCTTTCTCTCCCTTCCCCTCTACACTTGTCCCCAGGTGAGGATTTAAAACAAAAAAAGTTTGCTACTATATGTTCAACTGAGAATGAACCTAGGAAAGCCTTTTTATATAGCAAATGACATTTATTTTGTTATTTAATAAATGCTTTGTCAACATGGGTCTATCACACCAAGTTGTTGAACAAAACGTTTTTCAAGCATAAAAAATTATTTTCACCTTCAAAAAGTTAACAAGTGATATATACTTGTTGTAGAAACACAAGAAATAAATTAACGGGAAAAGTCCATAATCCCACTATTTAAAGTCAACAACTATCGACAGACGTCTATCTTTTCACACCACTTTCTTTGAACAAAAAATGGGATTTCTGTGTATACAGATATAGGTAGCATACATGTGTGTACGTATAAATACGTGATATAGATGGCTTTGTTACAGGCTTTTTAACTTAACATGGGTGTGAGTAATATTTGCATATCACATGAAAGGGAACATACACATCCATGTTCCCATTAGTGACTGCATGACTTATAAGCCAATCTTCTATTTTTGTATGTTTATACTGGCTCACATTTTTTTCCTATTAAAAAAGCTCTGTGATGAACATTCCTCTATCTTCATGTGCTTGTCCAGTTGTTACCTTCAGATGAATTCCTGGAAATAGGACTTACAGGTCAATGATAAGAACCTATTTTTGCAATGTCTTTTAAATGAAAGAGGTGATAGAACAGACTTGGGAGGCATTTTTTTTTTAGTACTATGATGTACTTAAAAATTTTTTAAACTACATAAAATTATGTTTTTAATGTTGCCAAATAATTTAATAGATGGTTTCCACATCCCAGCCCCTTCACACTATGAAAACAAATAGATGAAAAGAATAGAAATCCAACATTGATTTGGAAGACAAGACATACCCTAATTTCAAAAGCATTTTTATTATTTTTTTAATTAAATGGAAGTTAAAAGTTAAACAGAAAAAAAGATGGACCTGAATTTTTATTTTTGATTCAAAAATACATGTTCATTATAGAAAATCTGCAAAATATAGAAAATACATAGAATATAGAAAATATGAGTTTCCCAAAATCCAACCATACATGATACAGCCTCACACTTTTACCATTTTCTACATGTGTATTTTTTTATTGAGGAAAATCTTTCATCTACTCTACAAAAATTAGTAATTCAAATTATGTACATGTGCATTTTTTTTTTAACAATTTGGCATTCTCC